TTGGGACCAGAAACGACTCTGGGAGGTGTCTTTAAGCCGAACTTCCTCATCACGGAGCACACCTCCCCACCCCACACACCCGCCCATGACTCCTGCAGGCTCTCGGCAGTAACAGAGCAAAGTGAAAGTGAAACTTAACCTGTCTGCTGCTCTTAACACTACTGCTCACTCAGTGAAACTCTTTTCATATTCAAAATACCTTTGAGGAAATGTGTTTTCAGAAGCAGAGGCCAATTTCAAGGCGTTTAGAAGAGGAAGTGATGAGAAGATAAGTTTATTTTCTATTTAAACATAAAAACAGCATTTTAATAACAACTAAAGGTGACATAGATACTTTATTATGGTATAGTATTTAAATGTATGCCTGAGAAACACATAATATTGCCCCTTTAATGTATCCATCCATCCATTATCTATACCCACTTTACAGGACCACACATAGAGACAAACAACCATTCACTCTCTCACTCACACCTAGGGACAATTTAGAGTTATCAATTAACCTAACAGTCATGTTTTTGGTCCGTGGGAGGAAGCCGGTGTACCCAGAGAAAACCCACGCATGCATGGAGAGACCATGCAAACTCTACCCAGAAAGGTCTCCGGGACGAGATTCGATCCAGCAACTTTCTTGCTGAGAGACATCAGCTCTACTAACAGAGACACCTTTTATGTATTGGTACATATATTTGTGCAAATATGTGCAAATATGTATAAAAGTTCCAAGTTTAAAACGGTTCCACAAAGATCCATCAGTCCATCCATGCCAATCCACAGCTTCTTTCCTGCGACAGCATCACAAGCAGACTGCCAGGCTGCTTCTCATCTGCAGGCTTTTCTATCACTGCATCTCAGCACTTTCGCAGTTTGTCAAACATCTCTCACTCAGCCCCTTTTTCTTCCTCTCAGCACTCCCATCACATCCTCGCCTCCGCGTTTGCTCAGATTTGAGGTTTGGCTCAGGGAATCAAAAACCCGTGCAGTGATGGTTTTCTTACAGGTAAAGTTTCATCACTTTGTGCTAACCTCAACCCGTATAACATTGATCATATAAATAAAACAAGCAGAACGAAGGAATGGGACCATCCTGTGGACAGGAGCTTTTAATGAATCTCTGCTGGACGGCCCAGGAAAGAAGCACAGCCATTTCTGAGAGCAAGGAGCCATCTCCTTGGTGAGTACCATGGCAACAGCCTAACGTGGGCCCCAGCTTTTCCTGAGATGTTCTTTTCAAGCTCTTGGTCTAAAGTGGCAGGCCAGTTGTTTTTTTTTTTTTTTTTTTTTTTTTTTGTTAGATGATGTCTATTGCTCTCTCTGTGCCATTCTTCTGTTTTCTCCTTTTCTCTGCCTGCCTGACATGGTCCTGGCCTTGTTCAGCAGTGAGGCTGTGAGAAGACCGCTGGGGGCGAGCATCCGTGGGAAAATGTTGCCAGACAACATGGTGGTATGTGACAGGGAGGGACAGCTATTATATCYCCTGTGTGTGGGGCAAAAGGGGAAACTATTATAATGCATATACTACCTAATCTGATCATAGACTGTAACCACGTTATATAACTGTTTTTGTAAACAAGAACCTTTCATTCTCTTAGACCAACTTGTCTAACTCACTAACTTCAGGCGTTTGTTCTCGTTTATCAGTTATACTTTTRCTTTTGTTTACCATCATGAAACACCCATCATAGACMTGATGTTAGGGACTGAAAACATGTCTTCCTGCAGGGTATTTATGAGTGGTCTGGACCCTTCATACATCTTTCATCTTTGCCTTTTGGCAGAAGATGCAAAGTCCCCAAATGTGAACTGAATTATTTWATGTTTTTGATCAAATTTTGCTAAAATCTGCTGCTACTCCAAACTTCCTTATCCCCTATATCTCCTATATTTTGTATATTTATGTTTCTATTTTTTACTTACTCTATTCTACTTGTTCTATCTTTTTTTATCCATTGTATCTGTATTTAAATTGCTTCTGGGTGTAACTGGACCGTGAGAATACAAATTTCGTTCTACCTCATGTATCACATGTGATGCGAATGACAATAAAGTCTCCTTGAAAAGTCTAAATAACGTCTCCTAAAGCTTGCATTATGCTTCCTGGAAATGTGCAGTAGCCTATACCTTACTGGTGAATTATGTTTGTTGGTTTCAGAACTGATTAACATTTAGTGCCAACTCAATTAGAAATGACGACCACAGCTAATCAAACTTAGTCAACACAAAAATACAAACTCAGTCAGTTTTATTGACCAGTTCCATGTCATAGGAACTACAATATAGCATAGCTTGCTATCCTAACGTAAATTAGCGAAAAMAAATACTAAACTAAAAAGAAAGCATGTTCAATTACAAACTTGTCCTCAGCTTCAGCCCCACAGACATCATTGTGCGCTCACCAATACACAGCATGGCATTTCAGAGCCTCAGTCGAATTATAGGTTCTGATCTAATCAAACCCCAGTCAAATACAGGGTCAATAAGTCAGGCAGACTCAACCAACACAAGCCAAATAAACAACCCCCCTGCATCTGTACTGTCACAGCTACAGGAGGCTGGCAGGCGAAGCAGGAATATATTTCCTTCAGTTATTTATCTGACTTTAGGACTGGTTCATGTTCTGATTTAGCTCCTCGATCTGTTTATAGCATTTCATGCTTTATTATCCGACTCTGAGATAAAAAGTACTGCAGACAGGAATTTATCGATCCATAATTTCCTTGTCACTTACAAACCCCCCATAGATCAAATGCTTAATTTATCATTAATATTGACATTTTCACTGTGTGGCAGTTGCTCCCTCATTCAATTATGTTAGTTTATTGTAGATGAAACTAGAGGTTGTAAAGTAGGTGGGGGGGTTTGGTCAGTATTCCTAGGTTGCTGCTTTGCAACTTTCTTTAAAGGCAATTTTATGTATTATTACATGCCTTAATATCCATGTTTTGTTATTGACAGTCTTCACATGTATGTTTTGCCCATAAATGATCAAATAAATACATTTTCCCTCCATATTCCCTATAAATGTTCCTTTATGGCATTCTAAAACAATGACAGAAGCGACAAAATCTGTGGTTTTATGGTTTAATACAATCACAGAACAATGATTAAAATGAGTTTAAGGTGCACATCACTCTGTACAGATAAATTTWAAAAAAAGATTAAAATAATATCACTTGAGCTTTGTTAGATAGTATGATCATGTCACAAACACATGCTGAAGGAGCTTCACTACTGACGTTAACAGAGAGCCACCCTGTGGATAAATGAGTAAGTATACAAATAGGATTGTTGATGTCTTCTAAAAAACACACAAAAAGCTAATGATGAGCCTGAGCTAAAAYAGAGAAAATGTTCAACAGATTCTCTTGTTTTAGTTGTAATTTACTCGCACTCCTCCACGTGACTTCTCTACCTAACGTGAGCCCATGACTGACTGCAGCCAGCTGAGGTGGCGCGACACTTTTTGGAAGACGTAACCGTTGCTGCAGCTGACCCCCTCCGGCTGGCTCACCACCCCAGTGAGGAAGAACACATCCCTGTACAGGGTGAGCAGGGGGCTACCGGAGTTCATGGTACAGTCCTCGTTGGTCCGTGGGACRGTGCAGCCCATTCTGTTGGTCATCAGCGTGGGGAATGTTTCCACACACTGTGGCAGCTGTCTGTACTGCAGGTGGTTCAGAGTGAGCGAGCCCTTGAAAACTTGCTCCTGTTCGGAGGTTTTCCAGCCAGTGACAAAAGCTGGGAGGTCTCCCGACATCAAGATGCTCTCTGCAAAGTCCCTCTCAGGCAAACAGGCAGCAACTCTGGTTCTCTTAAAGATGATGCGGTCGCGAAGTTCTATCACGGCCAGGTCATTTTCAGCARGGCCCTCCACGTAACGAGGGTGGACGTGAATTAACTTTGGGTACAGCGTCTGCTCATCATAGTCGCTGCTGCTGATGCTGCGTTTACCTGAGGAGGAGCAGGAAAGGACAGATGACGCCGGCATGAGGGAACAGCTGACTCTTTAGTTCTTTGTGTTGTGCAGTGTTATACCTGCATTTAGATCACGTTGTAATTTGCTTAATAAAGTAAACCTAAACACATTTTATGTTTTTTCCATAAATTCCTGGGTGAAGTTCTAATTCAGGAAAAAAAAGGAAAAAGAAAAACTGTTGAGGTATTTCAACAAAAGTGTGGAGCAGCACTCCGAGCAGCGCTTCTTTCTGCGTGTCATTTTGCTGAAAATGATCTGTTCCCTGAAGCCGGTTGTTAAATTAGCAAGATGCACGGCTTTGATGAGCAGCTGCTCTGATCCTACCGACCACGTGAACATGATGTAATCACCGATCCACTGTCTCACGTCGTATTGAAGTATAAAATAAGCTTTACTCACCAACTGTAACCTGAAAGGAGCTGTGTTTGTTGGCACACCGAGCTGAAGTCAGGACCAGGTTCTCCTTCAGGATGACTCCGCTACAGAAACCTGCAGATCCTGACGTCTTCAGCAACGCCTGCAAACAGGATGAACACGTTGTTAGGAAGAGGAGAAAGCGCAATGTGCAACGTGGGAGTGTTACTTCCTACCTGCCAAGGACACATTGTGGTTGTACAAATTAATCTTTCATAGTTTCTTTCACTGTTGCTGGACTGTCTGAAATTGTCCACCTTACCACAAGGGAATGAGACTAAGAAGGAAACATCATACATAAGGAATATATCTATGGTGTTAGCAAAAGAGTTCATTAACTACTAAATGAATTTCAAATAAAAGAGCTGTTTTAAAGAGCACAAACAGGAGAGGCAGTGGGCATACTGAAAATTAAAAAATAAAAATGAGTTCCCTGGAAATGTTGCTTTAACCATCATAATAAACATACCTGCTGGCTCACAGGTGTCCTTGTTCGTCCGGCTGAGCTTCCATCCACGAGCGCAGGAGCACTCGTAAGACGTGTAGCCTGGTTTGCAGAACTGCGAGCAGCCCTTGTTCTTTTCCAGAGTGCAAAGAGTCTCGTCTGCATCGTAAAACAGTTGGAGATGTGATAAAATGTGCACAGCAATAAAACATTTAAATAAATGATGATGTTGACATGCAGCCTGCCCTGAGTCCATTTAACCTTTTTCACAGTGGACCCCAGTGAAACCCGACTTGCAGACGCAGTCGTAGCCTCCCACGCTGTCTGAACACATGGCTCCGTTCTTGCAGGGTTTCTCTGCACACTGATCTCCATCTTAACAAAGAACAAGTCTTATGAGAAGATGGAGTGCACCACTAATGAGTGTACAGTGATGGGGAGTGCTCTTAATGGAAAACTCACCAATGTAAACCGACCAGAAAATATCCTGGAAGAGAAAATGCACGAGTGAATAAACGCAGCTGCACAGCGGCTTCTTCAGTCAATTATTAAACAGAGGGATGGGAGAAGCAAACTRCAGCTCACCGTGCGGTACGAGTCCTGGAAATACTTTCTGGCCTCCTCATAGGAACACACCCTCTCCATGCAAGCCTGCTCCAGGGTGGAGGATGGGGTTCCCACATTCCTCTTCTGACGGGAGATCAACGAGGTGGCCTGCTGCTTCTCCAGAAACACTAATGGAGCAGATAAACATTTAAAAATTACATTGTCACATTGCTTTTTTTTCTTGCATTACATACATTGCCAAGTTTTATCCTAAACATGACATCACACTGATCTTTATCTGTCCACTCTTTTTTCCCCTCCCTCATGAACACAAACTCACCTGTCTGGGGACTATGAATAGCTGCTGTCATCCCAGCAAACAGAGGCAGAAGTGCAGCAAATGTGATCGAAGTATTCATGGTGACACTGAAGCATCAGAGGTCACCASTGCAGGGTTCAATGTGTGTTTCTAGGAAGAGTATAAGAACAGTGAAGGTATGATGTGAATAGCAATAGCATATAGCTAATTTTTATTTAAAATCTAATTATTAATAGCCTAAACCTAATTACCGCCTGCTGCAACATGTCTTTATTTGTTTGTCTGACCCCTGGGGTCAACCCAGGGGCAATGCAAGTGTGCCCCTCGTTGTTCAGGTATATTCAAGCATTGCACATGACAGCCTGCATAACTTAAATGGTGGATGATTTTATGAAATATGTCAGCACACACACACACACAAAAAAAACACTAACTGAACCATTTGGAACTGAAGAGGTGGGTGAGAGAGAGAGAGAGAGAGAGAGAGAGAGAGAG